ATTTTTAGTAGAGACGGGGTTTCACCATGTTGATCAGGCTGGTCTTGAATTCCTGGCCTCAGGTGATCCGCCCACCTTGGCTTCCAAAAGTGCTGGGATTATAGGCATGAGCTACCATGCCCAGCCAGTTTTTATTCTTTAGTAAGTTAATGAATGATCACTTTAGTGAGTCGTCAGTGACCTGCCCATATTCCTCAGACATTTATTTTGTGTGTGTGTGCTCCATACAGCTCCTGGAATCTTCACCTCTGTGTCTGCAGGCTCTTTTAGAACTGTGAAAGGCCACTTTGACCTGTGCAGGGGTCAGGCTGGAAGTGTCGGGAAATTATCACTCAAGGAACAGACTCTGCTTTCCTGTCTCACATCCCTGCTTCCCTACTGGTGCTTTTTCCATCGACTTCCAAATAAATGGCTGTAATTGAATTTTTAACTCAAGGTTTGCTTCTGAGGGAAGTGAGACCAAGACATTACTAGTTAGGCCTTTTCCTACCAGCTGTGAAAGCATTTATTTACACACAACTGACTTGGGTGAGAGTATAAATATCCCAGCTCCCTCACTCCTCAGGTGGGAGGACTCAGAGACAGGAGCATTGGCCGCTTTCCCAGAGTTCCCCCAAGGGATTAAGTTTCAGTTGTCCATAATGGTAATCTGAGTGATAACACGTGTTATTGTTGCTTTATAACTTCTAAGTTCAGGAGTACATGTGAAGGTTTGTTACATAGGAAAACGTGTGTCATGTGGGTTTGTTGTACAGATTGTTTCATCACCCAGGTCGTACCCATTAGTTATTTTTCCTGATCCTCTCCCTCCTCCCACCCTTCACCCTCAAAAGGCCTCTATGTATCCATGGATAACACACATCTTATTGGTTGTCTTTCCTTCCCTGTCTCTTTTCCTCACTCTCTTACTGCTGCATCCTAGAACCACCTCCAAAATAAACTGCTTATTCTCAAACTCTCAAGATCTGATCTTTCCCTGCCAGCTGTGAAAACTTGCAATTTCACACCAACCTCAACCCTTTCAAGCAGAATAATGTGAAGACTCAACATGCTTAAATGGATCCAGAGGCCCTGCTCTCTCTAGCTCCTAATACACATGGTGATTAGCTTACTGTCCTTCATCATCTCAGCCTTATCAAAAATTTCCCTGGAGGTCTAGCTGGTGTTAACAGAAATGGGCACAGAGCTGGTGTGGCTGACCGTGGACAAAGCTGACTTGGCTGGTGTGGTGCAGAGAAGCCAGCTTGTTTATGTGCTTATTCTATGACCGCTTGCCCTGAGGAGAAAGTGCCTTTCGGGATCTATTTTTGGAGGTTTATTAAGTATGTCTGTTCTCAATTCCAACAGTTTAATGAAGATCTAAATAAAATGCTGGGATCTATCTTAAAAAAAATTAAAAAAAGAAGTTTCCCTGGAATCTAAAATGTTTACGTACAATGAATTTGCATTTTACCTGAATATTTTCTGTATGTCCTCATAGCTACCCATTTTGCGTATATAACCTATTACACACTTGTAAACTTTGGTTTTTATGTACTAAACATTGAGAGTAAACTGGGACCAATGGGAACAAGTTCTAAGAATGCAAATTTTGTCCAAGCATAAGGAAAAGCTAGTAGAAGTATATATTTTTTTATTTAATGGAGGACCTAATGTGGAAGTAGCAAGTTCCCAGAATATTGGAAGAATTCATAAAGAAACAGTCATCACACTTTCAAAGGGCTTTCTGCATGTGTAGGAGATTGTACTGAATGAGATGTAAGATACCCCTAAATGCTGAAAAAAAAAAACCTTACTGAATACACATTGAGATGTTCCATATACCTGGCAGTTTATGAATATTTTCCTTCAGTGACAATAAAATGGTTCAAAACAATATTTTTTTCCAGTTGGCCACAGCACTGGCCCTGCCTGGCGTTTGCAAATCAAGCTGTGTCTTTTGTTAGCTGCATCACCCAATAAAGATTTTGAAATCAAGCTTGAGCTGGCAATTTTCTTGGTGATTCATAAGGCAAAATAGGGCACAGTTTGCATTTCCACAGCTGTACTGGCATCACCACATGTAATAGTTAAAATAAAAAATAAAAACAAGCAAAAAACAAAACTTTTGTTCTTCATGTAGGCTGGTGAGATCTGGGCAGCGTGAATCTCTGTTTTAAAAGACTCCTGGATTTGGAAATTTCATTATATACCCAGGGCCCGCCTTACAAAGTCTCTGTAGAACTTGATGTGCTCCTTGGCAGGAAGAGATTTAATTTTACATAATAGAGTTGTGGGCATTCAAAAGAATAACTAGCCCCTTGTCACCAAGTCATCCAGGAAGACGGTTGCTCATTATACATATAAAAGGCCTTTCAAAATACAATTTTTGTAATGTCTCCAGGTAAAACATAGCAATATTGCCTTAAAATTTTTTTTTTAAATCACTCCTGCTGTCAGGAAGTGTCTCTTTATGTCTTATTTGAATTTCTTTTCCTTGAACTCACATTTGCTGCTAACCTCAGATTCCCTCATCTCTTGGGCTGGGAAACACCTGGAACCCTCTCCCTGTGGCAGAGCTAAAAAACAATGGCTCCGTGTTCAGTCTTTACCTTTTCTCTATTAAATCGTCCCAGGTCTTGTCACCTCTCTTCCCAATGTTCCATTTTATGTTTCTGGATTCCCTTCTGTTTTACTTTGTTCTTCTTTTAACGTGGATTCCAAATAGGACTGGAGCATCTACAGAGCGTGTCAGGACTTCTGCTGCCATCCTTACATTACAGATCTCAGAACATTTAACAGTCAGTTCATTCTGTAGTTAGTTAACCAGTGACCCATTAGGACTTAGTCTGCCAGGTCTGCCATAACAAAGTGCCACTGACTGGGTGGCTTAAAAACCAGAAATTAATTTTCTCACATTTCTGAGGCCAGATGTCAAGGGTTGTAGCAGGGGTCAATTTCTTCTGGGGCCTCCCTCCTTGGCTTGTAGACAGCCATCTTCTCCCTGTGTCTTCACATGGTCTTTCCTCTGTATCCATCAGTGTTTATGTTTTTTCTTTTTTAAGGACACCAGTCACATTGCATTAGGGCTCACCTTAGTGACCTTGTTTTAACTCGGTTACCTCTTTAAAGACTGTGTCTGCAAATTCACTCCCACTGTGAGGTACTAGGGGTTAAGAATTCAGCATGTGAGTTTTGGGAATGGGAGGAGGCACACTGCAGCCCAGGAGAGGCTCTATGGCATCGTACTTCCTTCCTCTGGTCCCTAATAGGGCAGCGGTGTTTGTTCAGGGCAGGGATGTTTGGATGTTTACATCCTCTCATAAGCCCATGTTCTTTTCCTGGCTGAATGCAAGCTGCACCCACCCAACCCTCTGTGCCAGGGGAAAGTCTCTGTTTCCCATCAAATGGGCTTCTCATTGCCCGTGGCGTGGGTTTCAGATTCCCCTAGGAGAGGAGTTCTTCCTTGCCCTGGTCACCTCCACTTCCAGGAGGCCAGGGTGAGTTATGTGGCCTCTTACA